AAGGTGCCACAAGTACTCCTTTTTCTTTTTGCGAATACAGACTAACACGGCTGTTACTCTGAAACCTGTACAATAGAAAGCAAGTTACAGGTTTAACCCTTGACTCAACCTGATTTTATACAAAGTGTACTTTCAAATATCGTTATTACTAGAAGCATACAATTCTTTTTACTCTTCAGAGATTAGTAATTCAGCACTTCTGATGTCAATATTAGTTATTAAACAGTTATTTGCTTATGCAAGGAAACTATATTTCCAAATCTTTCCTGCAGAGAGTATTCTGTTTTGAAACATAGTCTTGTTGTGTTGTCATCTCTAGTTTTTGCTTTGCAAATTGTTTGATTTATGTACATAAGGAAAATAACAGCATTTTTACAGGGGCTCTTGCCCAGCACAGTTATGTTGGGGTCACATCACTTCGTACTTCTGGTGGACATAATTTGCCAGTGAAAGTTTGTGTGTCGGCCTAGCCTTACTTTGTATATTTCCCCCACTGCTTTGTGTCCCCCATTTTGGAAAATGCTGGAATAGACGTTTATAACAGATGTGCTCTCTTTTTGTGCATGCTTTGAGGAGTGAAAAAGGTTAAGCGTTTGCATTTAAAGTACCATCCTTGGTGTCTGTGCTACCTAATTCAGATGAAACTAATGGGTCACTTGATACCTAAAAACTATTATTTTGGGCTCTGCAAAATTGGGCAGATGCTACTGCATCAGTTCCACTCTGGTAGCATTTTCAAGGCTTTCTCTAAAGCCAAAGCAGCGGGAGACAAACTCCTTTCAAAATAGAAGCTGAAACTACAGAGGGTAGTTAAGTCCGTTCCTCTGATGTGCCCTGCTGCAGGAGTGTTTTCCAAAACATGGGATGGTCTTTGCCCTGAGGAACTTGCAATCTAAATAAGCAAGATGGAGTGAGAGAAAGGAAGTAGTAGTTATCCCCCTTTTACAGACTGGCAACTGAGGAACAGATAAAGGTCTGATAGGAACTCTGGCAGAGCAAGAATTGAAACCAGATATCCTAAACTCCATTCCACTGACTTAGCTAGAGGACAGTCCTCTTTAGTGTTGCTTCTAAGTGAAGTCAAAGATTTTTCTCTCCGTCTCTTTTTTTGAAACTTAATGCTTCCTTACAAGGGTGTAACATCCTCTGTGGATTGTCTTCAATTGTACTGGCTTTGGTTAATTAGAAAGCTTATTTAAGTTAATTTGCTTGCATGTTTCTGAACTTTTTGATAAGATCACTAGCGCTTTTTCTTTTCTTAAACTACTGTTAATTTAACTAAATTAAACTTTATAATAAAATGAAATAAAATGAAACTTGAAAATTTTTGTACCATCCATGCATTCAGAAGGAAACTTCATTTTTCTCTCTCTTCTTCCCCCCTAGAAGGATTCTAAAGAGCTACAGCAATAATTAGAGTGTTGGATAGGTTTTATGAGCGTAGATTAAAAGATACATTTGTGTAATTTGACTAAATGATGAGATGGGTTATTTCTATGTGTTAGAAGGAAGGTCAAGGAATGAAGAATTGTCTCTTCCATGGGAGTTTGAGAAATATGATGAAATTAGAACTGTGAGCTGTAATTGAGTCAGACTACCACTTCTATTTAAATTATGGAATAATCTCCGTAATGGGATGCTAAATCCAGCAAAAAGCTTTGGTATATGTACAGTAGGGAACAATCGTATAACAACACAACTATGGACCAGACTTAATATTCAAAATAGAAAATTCTAGAGATTCTATCCTTTTGATACACTTAATATCACAGCTGAAGGGACAATGGCTAATTAAAGGAAACTTTTTCATTTATCCTGGTGAATTATTGGGAATTATCAGTGAGGTCAAAGCTTGAACTGCAGCGTAGTCTTTCAGGTTTGCAAGTCAGTTAAGGCTGGTCCTGATGAGACTTAAGTACCATTTGAGGCCTGGAATTTGTATGGTTGATTCCCAACGCAAGTGATCTCTGCTGACCCATGTTCCCTTTAAGAACATACACCAGCATTTGTCAAACCGGGGATCTTGACCCAAAAGGGGGTTGCAAACCTATTATAGGGTGGTCACAGTATTGCTACACTTATTTCGAGCCGCCATCAGAGCCGGGTGGCTGGAGAGTGGTGGCTGTGGGCTGTGCGCCCAGCGCTGAAGGCTGTACCACCAGCAGCAGCACAGAAGTAAGGGTGGCATAGCATGGGCAGCGGCGAGTGGGATAAGGGGACATCACAGCCTGAAATACTTCCAAAGAGAGTCCCAGCAAAGAAGGTTTGAGAACCCCCAGCATACACAATTGTATCTGATTGTTCACTTAAGTTAAGAATTTCTCCTAATAGGTTTCAGATACTTTTAAGTATGTTTTTGGGCACATTATCTCATGGCCCACTTACCAGAGAGACAGCAGATAAAAGGTTTAGTCACCAAAATGTTCTAAAGCAATTCTAAAGTTTATACGGTCCAGCTAGGGTATAGTTTGAGTAGATTGTATGTTAAAATTTCAAATCAGTGTTTTCATTATTTCCTAGTCTCTGCCATTTTAAAAGTTTTTCTATTTTCTTTGTGGCACTATTCCCCCCCATGTAATCCCTTATGTGCTTTGCCTGCTCTTATATTACATAACTTTTCAGTTTTTGAAAATGCACCAGATGTGTCTATATCATTGGTATTCTAAAAAGACTACAGGAAAAGTTTCATGATTGTACTGTGGATTGCTTCAAACCTTCGATTGTAAACTTTTTTTAGATTCTGAAATTCTCAGGACTGGGTCCATGTTAGTGAACAGCCCCAACAGCATGTTCTTCAATGGAGCATCTGGGTGTTACCATGATACAAATACTAAATGTCATCACCACCACTCTACAGCATATCAGATACACTCAAATTGCATGTTGCCATGTAATTCAGTTAAGTTTGACTCATGCATAACTTTAGAATAAGAAACATCTGAGAGCGTAGGATGATACTTAATGCAGACATGGTCTATGCCCTTTAAGTTTTTTATGTTAAAGCTTATGCAAGGCGACTCTTCAAAGGGCTTGCTTTCATTCATAGTTGATAAAAATGTCATCACGTGCATGCCATCTCTGTTGTTTTCTTTCTTTTTTGTGAATGTAACCTTGATGATAAACTTAATTTGCATCCCTGAAGTTTGGAAATAGTGAAATAAAGCTGCAGTGCTTAACCCAAACAATCCCCGTATTTGTCTTACAAAAAGGAAACAAATTGATTAGGTGCATAACTGTGGAGCTGTGTGTTTTTTTCACTTGTGCATAATGCTCATGTTTTGTGTGTTGCTGGAAGTAGTGGAGAGGTAAAACCTATGAGTGATGCCTGGAAGTAAGGCAGGGACTCTGTCAAAACTAGCCCTTGTACCATGCTTTTAATTTAAAAATGGAAAGAGGTAGTAAATCAAGGAAACTTCAGTCAAGTTACTGCTTTTGTGTTTAGGTGTATTTGAAAAATAAAAATAAATTAGTCTACCTCCAAGAAATCTATGGCAAGTTTAATTCTTGAAGGTTTAAAAAATACTTGAGAAACTCTGCCCTGGTCTACACTACACAGGTCACCATAAGGCAGCTTTGTCAGTGTACACAGTGTACAGCTTTGCTCCTGTCGATGTAAGTGCTATACTAACTAACAGAATATGACTACACTGATATAATAAGCCATACACCATTTGCTGAGGTGCAGTTATTTTGGTGTAGGTAGGGTGCTGCGGTGTCAATGTAGACCAGAGGTGGGCAAACTACACCCCGTGGGCCACATCTGGCCCACGGGATCGTCCTGTCCGGCCCCTGAGCTCCTGGCCTGGGAGGCAGTCCCCCCTCCCCCGCAGCCATGCCACAACGTGGCGCAATACTCTGGGCAACAGAGCTGCAGATCCCGGCCTGACCTGGTGCTCTGCGCTGCGTGGCGCGGCTGCCTGTTGTGGTGCAGCCGTGCTGCCAGGCACTGGTGCTCCAGGCAGTGCAGTAAGGGGGCAGGGAGCAGGAGGGGTGGGATAGAGGACAGGGGAGTTCAGTGGGTGGTCATGGGTGTGGATAGGGGTCGGGGTGGTCAGAGGGCAGGAATGGGGGCAGGAGTCCCGGGGGGGGCAGTCAGGAAGGAGTGGAGGGGTGGCAGGGGGTGGTCAGGGGACAGGGAGCAGGGGTTTGGGTGGATGGGGCACGTGTCCTGGGGGATGGGCAGTCAGGAAGGAGAGGAGGGGTTGAATGGGGTGGTGGGGGGCAGTAAGGGGCGACAGGTCTGGAGGTGGTCGGTGGTCAGGGGGAAGGGGTGGTCCCGGGGGGGGGCAGTCAGGAAGGAGGGAGGGGGTTGGATGGGGCAGCGGGGGGCAGTTAGGGGTGGGAGGTCTGGGGGCTGTCAAGTGTTTTTAAACACAGTATGTTAATTTTCCAGGAAACCTTGCTGTTCTGTAAGCTCCTCATATATTAGACAGGGCATTTGTTGTGTACAGCTAAGTACAAAGCACTGTGTATTGGTAAATTTTAGAAGCTCAGAAGGACTCTTAAAAACTAATGCATGCTAATATAATTCGTACGCTGGCGTCTTCCAAACTTTACAGGTCATTATAAGCTGAACAGAGAAGCAGGACAGAATCTTGTCTGTGGTTTGAATATGTAGACATTGGGGAGGAGTATTTCTAAAGACAAAAATGGCAGTTGTGTGTGTTACACCATTGGGAGTACTTTCAGACTCAAGTACTTATTGTATGCATGTGCCTGTTAAATAAGAGATTAGATGTCGCAAGGCCATCTGTCTCAGCATGGCAAACAGAAATCCTAAACAGTGCACTGTGCACTCACACTTGGCTGAAATATTAATTAGTGCAAGACGAGTCCTTTGCAAATAAATGGTAAGAATGGATATTCAGAAACTAATAATGCGTTTTATCTATGGTTGTAAATTTAGAGTGAAAATATAAATTTGAACTTGAAAGTTATTTAATATTGATTTCTCTCTTTTCCCTCTCCCTCCCCCTCCCACCTTATTCCCTCAAAATCAGGTGTGTAAACAGATTTGGCTAGGATTATTTGATGATAGATCATCAGCAATTCCAGACTTCAGGGATCCACAAAAAGTAAAGGAGTTTCTACAGGAAAAATACGAAAAGAAAAGATGGTAAGCTAACACTCAGTTTTGATAAAAGCTAATTTTTTTTTTTCCTTCCCTGTAACCAGAAATCCCTTTTGGGTTTACTGTAAATTGCTGGCTGACGTCCGTCTTTCATTGTGACTAATAACGAGTGTTACTTTGTGGCTGAAAAGAGACCTTGACGACGTCTCAATTTTTAAAGAAGGCTTATGGAAGACTTTGACTTGACTTCACGTACGGCACTACAGCAGCACAGCTGCAGCACTTCAGTGATGATGCTACTATGCCGACAGGAAAGCGTCTCCTGTTGGCATAGTTATAGTTAATCCACCTCCACGAGAGGCGGAAGCTATGTCAATGGGAGAAGCTCTCCCGATGACATAGCACTGTCTACACCGTCGGTGGGGTCGGTGTACCTACTTTGCCCAGCAACAAAGTTGTACTGATATAGGTCTGTAGTATAGACCTGGGCATTGTAAAGCACTAAATATTACATCTGCATAGTCTGAACATTGCCAAACCTAGATATTCATTTAAAATCTTATGAAGAAGACATGGCCATTTGTTAGTAGATGCACGACATATGTTAGTGTGACATTCCCCAGGGACTGCTGTGTCCCCTTAGCTCTCCAGCCTAGGATGCCTTTTACACTATTTTGTTAGTGAACAGCAAACCCTTCCAGGCTCTGCTTACTCACACCACCAGCATGCAAAGTCACTCCCAGCTGAGTGCATGAATCTATGCCTAGCCATCCACGAAGCACATATAAGGCAACACCCGCATATCCCTCAGGCCCAGCCTTTTCCACCAGAAATGTATATCTTGTACTGTTCAGTAGCCCCACTGGACAGGACAAGCTCATAATCAGTCTGTCATTCCAACTGTGGGTAATAAATATATGCACCAGTCCTTTCGATCTGAGTAGAGATCAAAAGGATTCCCCAAACACTTCAGTCAAACACACTGGCTTAGATAAAATAACAAAATAAGTTTTTATTAACTGCAGAAAAATAGATTTTAAGTTTTTATAATTAGTATGGCATAGATATCAGAACTGGTTACAAAAGAAATAAAAAGATAAAATTGCAAGCTAATTGCTAATTCCCCCCGTGCAACCCTTGGGTGCTGGAAAAATCCTTGCCTGGGTCATGTGGACAGCCAGTTCCATGGTGTGCATGAGCTTCAAACTGTCTTTTCAGATGAGTTGTAAATTTCCTGTTTACAACCCCCCCCAGCAGGTAATGGCTCTTTAGCACTTTTCTGGTGTGCTAGTGTATCTGTCTCTGAGTAATGGGCTTATGGGTGTTATCCAGAATTGCGACATATTCCAGTAACGATCCTACAGCAAAATCTCACAATTTCACATGCTGTGTTACACACATTTCTACAGGATAATAATCATCAGATTATGAGTTTACAAATGATATCTCACAAGGCATACTTTGTACAAAATATGTAACGATATAAAAGTGGTGAACATGGGGTACAGGGTGTCAGTTATTTTTCCTAAAGGGCTGCACTTGGATCCAAACTGCTTTAGCAGCGCTGAGGATCCATAAGACTGTTGTACTCTGCAGGTGGGGAAGTTGCTGCCTGTTCACAAGCCCAGCTTCTGCTGATTCCCTTAGAGTGGCTTTTAGATAGGGCAGAATAGAAGCTCTTGTGTTCTGCCCATACTCTAACAGCTCTACTATGTTTGCTTGTCTGGAGGGCTGTTTGTTTTTATTTTTCCTCTTATATATGTGGCAAACCTTGTCAGAATATACTGGACTTATTACATAGACAGTTGTTTGCTGAATAGGGTGTAAGAGCTATTACAGCTCATTTAAGTGAAGTTATCAGACTATTTTCTTTACGAGTTCTTTAAAAAAAAATTGTCTTTAAAAGTGTGTTCAGCTTAATGGGGCAATCATAATTCATCTCGAGCCAGGAAACTGTAACTGCTTATGGTGACATCAGTAACAGTATAGGACTTAAACAGTCCCTTACTGGGATGGAACTACAGTAACGGTAGAAATATTTACTTGGGTTTTGTAAAAATATTGATGCTCTGTAAGGTGAATGGTTAATAACTGATGGTAACTCAATTTGACTTTTAAAGAAGTGTTGCCAGCATCTTGCTTCACCTTCTTCCATTCTAGCTCATATCACTTAAAAGTTGGATGTCAGACTTTAATAGAGTGTACAACAATGGTTCAATCCTGGCAGTTGGTTGAGATTTAGGGACCATTAACATCACTTTTGAGATGAAGTAGATGTGATTTTTAATATGCTAAACATGCCATAAAATATTTTTTTCCAACTTTTTTTCATTTGCGGACCCCTAAAAAATTTCAAATGGAGGTGCAGACCATTTGGAAATTCAACCTGTGGTCCGCAGGGCCCTACCATAGAAGTCTTGGAAGTCTTAGACTGAAAACTGACTGAGCAGAACTCAACTATAAATGTTGCACATGCTCGGCACAGTATTTGACAAAGCGTGAGAAAGGGCGCTAAACTGTGGGCTTCTGTGGTAACAGCAGCACTTCTGGGTTTTGACCTGTAGGTGGGGGGCATTCACCTACTTTTGATTGATCAAAAGTATGCCTTTTCTGGGATCTGAAACTTTATTTTCATAGTCACCTTTAGCAGACCCCTTAGACACAGTCTGTGCGGACCCCAGGTTGAAAATGACTGTTATAAAACATTGGAAAACTGGAGTCTCAAGCTTTTGTAATCCCAGTGTTTGAGATATGGAACACTAAAATGGTGACTGGACCATCAGACCAGTAGTGCTATTTGACATTGGTCCAGATCTTAAAATAGCAAATCTGAGACCTCAGAGCAATAGCTTTTGATCCCTGCGCTACCATTATAATGGATGTTGGAACAAAACTTGTGTTAAATATTAAATAATTTTACTCTTATTCAACTTAGGTATGTTCCTCCAGAACAAGCTAAGGTGGTGGCATCAGTCCATGCATCTATATCAGGGTCCTCTGCAAGTAGTACAAGCAGCACACCTGAGGTGAAACCGCTTAAATCTCTCTTGGGAGAATCTGCACCAGCACTGCACTTAAATAAAGGCACACCTAGCCAAGTGAGTGAGTAATGGCTAAGAGTTCAGTGGTATGGGATTATGTTACAGTATTTAAAAGGAGAATGGACATTTTGTGAATTGAACAAGATTTTACAAAATATTGAAAATTGTGGCATTAGTGGGTTACTCTTATTACAATAAAACTGTCCTGTCCTTAATACCTTTCATGCTCTGTTGCTTTTATGGAATGTGAATAGGGGACTGACAGTAAAATCCAGAAACTGAGTTCTGCATTGGCTTGACTTTGAATGCTTCAAACTAAAAATGATAGCCTCTGCCCTCTGTAATAATGACTAATAGACTGGTATTTTTGGTGCTATTTAATAAAACTAAAACTCTTTTTTTTGTTTTGTAACAGGCTTTTGGCTAAACATCTTGTGTATCCACAACATAGAATAAAAGCTGTTTTATCCGGCACTTCATCAATCAGAAAGCTCTATAAACAGCATTTCTGATCTTCATTGAAATTCGGGTTTACAGTCCGGTTGATGCGGGGCCAGCAAGGGGTTGGGGTGTGGGGTGTGGGCTCTGGGAGGGAGTTTGGTTGCAGGAAGGGGCTTGAGGTGCAGGAGGGGGCTCAGGGTGCTGGATCCGGGGGCTGCTCACCTCAGGTGGCTCCCTGCAAATGGTGACCTGTCCCGGCTGCTCCTAGGTGGAGGTGTGGCTCTGTGCACTGCCTCTGCCCGCAGGCACTGCCCCTGCAGCTTCCGTTGGCCACGTTCCCAGCCAATGAGAGCTGTGGAGCCAGCGCTCAGGGCAGGGCAGGGGGCAGCGTGCAGAGCCGCCTGCTGCACGTCTGCCTAGGAGCAGCCAGGACAGGTCGTCGGTTGCGGGGAGCCGCCCGAGGTGAGCGGTCCACGGATCCGGCACTCGCACCTGCTCCCCAACCCGCTGCCCCGAGTCCCCTCCGACACCCAAACTCCCTCCTGTCATTAACTGGCATTTTTCACTTACTGGCACACCCTGTTCCCCCAACATGCCGGATAAAACAGCTTTTATTGTTGGTGGGTTGGGTCATCCTCCTCCCTTGCATCCTTGTTGGAATTTTAAAAACACACCATTGCCTCCTATGAAGCCCTCTGTTACAACTGCCATCTTTTTATTAAAGAGAGGCATGGACAGGACTTTTTTCTTAACCTGTCAGGGTTACTGCTTTTAGAAGTAAAACCATGTTTTTTCAACAACTTGAGATTTGCTTTATCTCTTCACCCCAGCCCCCTCTCCCCCCCAAATTTGGGCCATTGTGACCAACTTAAGTTAACTATAAACTAGATTTTATATAAATGGTGTTCCCTGTGGTATGAGGAAGTATTTTGGTCAGTCCAGTATACTATAACTTCAACCTCCCTTCCTTAGAAGCAGTTCAGGGGTCAGTGAAGCTAACTTAATTAACATATTTTTCTCTATATATGGTCATGAATACTGTGCTGTATATTATGCAAGTGTGTCTTGTTGCAGTCTTGTAAAATGACTTTCGGCTCTCTGTCTAGCTCATCCATAACGGTACATGATAGGTTGGAGGGAACAAATGCATATTTGAAAAATAATGTATGATGTAAGTAGTCTGTATAATGCAAACGCACAAGAGGGTAAAGCTAAGGTTAAATGTTTGTTTAGAATTTCCTGACTCTTGAGTTTTTTAGCATGCAGCTGTAATTTTCTGTTGAGGAATTCTGCAAGAAATTTAACTTTTTTTTTTTTTTTTTTCCTGGAAGAAAAAAAATGGGGATTCAGTGAGAAGAAGGAGCTTCAGTCTACATGGCTCTGAAGCTCTGCTGGGCTTCAAAAATAATTGCAAATACCACATGCAGGTTCCATAATATGGAGCCATTTGTTTAGATACCTCTAATTTTCCTGTCTTACATGCATCTTAGTCTCTGGAAGTCTGCTGTGTAACTCCTAAGGTGCATTTCAGTAGGGCTACCTGAAGACTCACACTAAGCCCATGGGGGTTGGGAGGGAATATGCTCTTGCACACCATAGGGAGGGGAGGAGGAGGAGGAAAGATTCTTCTGTGTACCAGATTTTAAACTAGAAGCTCTAGATTAAATTACCAAATTTTAACGGGTTCATTGCTTGTTTGTTTCACATAATTGTGGTCTGAATTCTAAAGTTAAGAAACTTGATATGGCTTGCTAACCATGCTCCGTGGCAAAAAACTGTTCAAAACTAGTACCAGAAGTGCTTATTCGGTCTGTAGCCTTTAGCTGTTTGTAAAGCGTGGTTAAATATTGGCTTTCCTGTTTGTTTAGCTAATTAAAATGTTGTTTGTAGTCCCCTGTTATCGTTAGGTCTCAAGGACAACAGCAGCAGGAAAAGAAACAATTTGACCTCCTCAGTGACCTTGGCTCAGATATCTTTGCTGCTCCTGCTCCTCAGTCAACTGCTACAGCAAATTTTGCTAACTTTGCACATTTCAACAGTCATACAGGTAAGAGTTCTGTGTAGACACTTCCTCCTAATTAAATGTATAGAAACCTGAGGAGTTTTCATTCTTTATGGCTCATAAATAGGAATGATCTTCTGAATTAGTAAAAGGAGAATTAATATTTCTGTGCCTTGAACATTGTTATATCAGTTGTTAAGATTTAGCTTATGGCAAGCTGGAAATCAAGTTTAATAAAGCAAGTATTATTCTAAAGTTTTAAAACTTACACTGTGCATTTCCTTTGCAATAAACAGTATGGGAAACAGAAGAGAATAGCTATAAAATATAGCGTAGTAGTACCGTTTGACATGGATCACATAAATATTGATCTGTACCTGACACAAATTACGTTTGGTCACTTTTTGTCACTCCGCTTTAATTATTTTTTCCCTTGAGTTGCTTGTTTATAAAGCAAATATTTGGCTAGAAGTCAGGAAGCATCAGTGTTGGTGGCAAGAGAGGAGAAGGTGAGTAAAGTAGTGGGGAGTGGGCAGAGGCTATGCAAGATGTCATTTCTTTTCTCTGAAAAAGTTGGCAAGATACTTTATGGAAGGGAGTGAAAAATAGCGAACAGACAGCTGGTGTGGGTGTCAATGAGGGGGAAGAAGCAATGCTGCCTCACTGAGTATGACAGAACTGAAGGAAGAGAGAACAAACGTGTAGTGGAGGAAGCCCATGTGGCTGGGACTCACTAGTGTGGGGGCAGCAGCAAAAGGAAACAGTTTTTGAGCAAAAACCAGGGTAGGTGTGGTGGGACAGACTTTTAAATATTTAGAACGGCTGTCTGTAAACATTCCTGAATGTTACAGAGGGGGAAAAATAAAGAAACCTCAGTCCATATAACTTTATCCTAAAGAATAATGACCACTAAGTTGATTCTGAAGAACACCAATAGTTATACGTCAGCAGCCTATAGATATTGAGTAGTGTGTTGCCACTAACTTTCTGTGTGACCATGAGCAAGTACCTACCCTTTGTCCTTGTCTACTTAGATTATGAACTCTTCAGGCTAGGTACTGTTTACTAAAATGTTTAGTACCTAAGGCAGTGGAGCCCCTATCTTGGTTGGTATCTCTGGGTTCTACTAATATTGCTAATACTGAGGAGAAATGCTGCTCATGAAAAATCTTGTGTTCATCTGAAGTGTTGTCGTCATAGTTGGTGTGAAATTACAAAGTTGAAAAATCATGGGTGCACACTTCTGGTGAGTTGAATAAGGTATTCGTCACCAGTTTAAATAAAAACATTTATAAATATTTTTTTAAAAACTTTTTTTCAGGCATTTTATTTTAAAGATAATGTGAATGACCAATTTAAAATCAGTAGAATTAAACATGAAGAGTTCTAGCTTATTTTATAAAGCATGCGTAAAACAAAGGCTTTCATGTAAATCAGTTTCTTGGAATGTATTTACATTGGAATGATGTTTGTTGACAGATTTCAAATTTTAATCTGCAGATTTACATGCTGATTGGTCAGTATTACATAAAACAAAGTTTCACTCCAAAGGCGTCTGGATGCTTAAGAAGTCTTTCCTGTAAAGATCCAGCCTAATCAAACCACATTTGTATCCGATTACAATGTACTTGAATTCTTTTTTTTTTTTTTTTTTTATAGACCTCAAGAACTGTAAGCCTCTTTTTAGGCAAACTGTTTTTTCATTTTATGCTTGATCACTCTAATACAGCATAAACCATGGTCCATTACCTCTGTTCAGGACTATCTTACTACTTTTATGTAGGATTGAACAGATACAAAGGAAGATATATCTTTCAATAGGAAAGACTAAAATTTTTAATGTAGTCAGCTAGTTTTTAGATTGAAATTATTGCTTTAAGTTGTGAATGGGAAGAATACCTGAGTATATATCACTGGTGTCCTTTTCTGCAGTAAGGTGCTCTCACTTTCTTGACATAGTGAATTGAGGAAAACAATCCCACAGTATTTAGAACCTCGGACTTTGATAGGGCTGGTACTTTTTACCTCTTATAAACACATTAAATTACGAACATCTGGTGGCAAATTTTAGATCACTAAGCCAATTTCTGTACGATGCAAAGTGCCTGCTCACCAGGCTGGCAAGCACCATACCTTATAAGGACATTTCATATGCAATAAACTGTTTTCAGTGATCCAGCTCATAAGTCACGTGGCTGAAGCCCTTCTGTTCTATGCCGATCAACATTGTAGTGCCTTTTTCTCCCCTCATGAACTTGGCTTCTACACTTTGGTTGCGGTAACACCCTGTGAAGCTGGTTCTGAAGTTACAGATTTGTCTTTGTGGTTCAAAGGAAGGAGTTGTTGAACTCACGTACGCATACAATAGCAAACTCTTAAAAGGTCTATAGAATATAATTGGGAATCATTGCACACAAAATTAAGATGTACGTGAACATCTTATAGTAAAAGGTACATGGGCAGGTGATTGGCTACAAAGATTGTTGCAGTAGAAGGTAGAGGGCTTTGATGTATATAGGTCAGCAGTTCTTGCTTTGGCGGCGTACTGATGCTGGTCCATGATGCCTATTTTGTTGATGTGGTCGTGGTTCTGCCTCCTTTACAGCTTCTCCTACAGGAGATTGAATATTTTTTTCATTTGGAATGTATAGTCTGGCCCCTTATAGAAACCACTGCTGAGGGGCAGCAAGATTAACAGCTTCTGTTATAAACTGTTGCAGCCACAAGGGAATGGATGAATTTAGTAGCCAGCAGGAAAAAAACTGTTGTAGTAAGGTACTTCTGCATTGGTTGGGTAGACTGTGGAGACAGTGAGAGCACTCTGTGAGAGGGCTGAGTGCCTGTTGCTGTACTGTTGTAATGCCTGGTAACTGCACAAGAATGTAGCTTCTGATAATGCTCCATCTTGTGGAGGTCCTAATGTGCCAAGTAGTACATGGGAACTTGGGCAGAGGGATTATGGAGAAGAGTGGGGCAAAGGAAACTAGTTTAACATATTGTAGATGTGAATTGGGGAAGGAAAACAATTTGAGTACAAATTTACTTAACTGAAAATGTGAAAGTTCACAAGAGTAGTACAGTTTTTTCTTCAAGTGATTGCACTTATCCATTCCACTCCTGGTGTCTGTGCACCCAGGGCCTGGCAGTCGGAAACTTTTTTCCCTGAGCTTAGTTTAGTAGTTAGTGTATTTACTATAGTTAGTTTTTTAATCTGAAAATTTACATGCTGATTGGCATGTTTTTTAACGGTGTTAAAAAGTTATATTTTTTAAAATTATGGTTGTTTGTTCCCTGTTTCAGGATTCTGATGCTGCTACTGAGGCATGCCCTGGTCTCCAGGGTTCAAGCCGTGTACTTCTGGCTCAAGGCCTGCCAGTGAGCGACCCACACAATAGTTGTCTGAAGTGCCTGGGCAAAGCACACATTAAAGACCTATTCAGGACTTGCCATTTGAGGGTCCTTCTCTGTTCTCAGACAAGACAGATAGCAAGCTTCATGGACTTAAGTACTCAAGCTTCCTTAAGCTCCTTAGATTTGTATTCACCTGCCCCAGTCAGAAAGTACTATCAACCTCAGCAGATGCACCATTTTTCTGTTCCAGCTCTTCGATAGTATCTGTCAAAAAAGTAGTCATGGGATTATAGGTACAGGCTTCCTCCTCCTGCTGCTTTGGCTCCAGTTCCAGGTATCTCGAAGGGGATGGAAAGTGCCAGTCATTTCTCCAGACCCAAATTCCTTCTCCCTTTGCCAACCATCTGTCCCTCTTCCTCAGTTCTTGGTCCTGAATTGCTTTGGACCAGTGTGTCTAGAGCACTGTGGAGGTGGGATATACTCAACCGTTTGTTTCTACCCCTTCCTGCCATCCTTCCTTCTCATGCCTCTTCAGGGACCACTCTCAAGAGGAGCTCCCCTTCCAGGAGGATACAGTCTCTCTTGGTTGGGGGCAATATAAAAGATTCCACATCCTCTGAAAGGGAAGGGGTTTTAGTTCCATGGTTTTCCAATCCCAAAGGTGAAGGGGCCAGGTTTAAGGCCAATTGTAGACCTGCATCAACTCAATACATTCTTAAAGAAGATAGCTTCAATTATCCCTTCCCTGGATCCTAGGGACTGGTATGCTGCCCTCGACTTACAGGATGCGTACTTCCTTGTGGCAGTCGCTTCCTGTGAGCTTGATTATCTCAGATTTCTGGTAAATCAAAATTATTATTGTCATGCTGTCTGGAGTGGTTCATGTCCACAAGTGCCAGCCTCAGGTCAAACTATCAAAAAGCAGGGCAGATGCCCCAAAGTGGTGGTTCTGTAATTAGATTTCAACTACCCAGTAACACATGTGAACTCCTGGATCACTGTACTAGTCTTACCATGGAGTCGCAGACTGTCCCCTCGGGCATTCCGGTCTATCTTGCCACCCAGACAAGCTGCACTTAGTGAAAAATAATTACCTACACCAAAAATCACAAAATACTCAGGTTGCTACCAGTCCCAATAAACCAGTCACTTACCCCAGATCAGTTTGTACCGGAGATCTCAACAAAGAGCACGCTGGTAGCTAATCCTATAGTAAACTTCCACCCATGAAGAAATCAACTAAGTTTTTGTCCTACAGTAGCCCAGTTAGACTTGATAGTCCTTTTTCTGCCTAGGTTCACAAGTTTAGAACAGGCATTTTTACAATTTATAAAGCAAAACTTTCCTGAGAGCATGGGATTCAGACATTACAAGTAAGATTAATGTATGCAGCAACGTACCAACATTTTGTAGAGTCTAAACACAGTCTTACAAGCCTAGCACCTATCTTGAGTAGTACTAACACACGTGAGCTGGTCTGGTTTCCAGCTATGAATTTTTCAGTGTAGGAGTCAGCTGTGCAGATTTGGTAAGAGTTAGCACCTCGGTTACCAGTGTCACAATTATTGGTTCACTGTACTACCATTTGGCCTATTAGCCGCTCTCAGGATCTTTACAGAAGTTATGTCAGTAGTAGCTGCATTCATTAGAAGATCGGGAGTTGAGAGTAGGGGTAAATCTGGATGACAGGCTTGTCAAGGGTCTGTGTCAACTGTAGGTACAGTGCAGTTTATGCCTGATCCAGTCAGTGTTCAATGCTGTGAGACTGCTAGTCAATGCAGAGAAGTCTCCTGTCTCCCTGGTCCAGAGAGTAGCATTTATAGGGGTTGTGCTGGACTTTGTTCCAGGCAATTCAATCAATTATTATAGGTAGAAAACATTACCCAGTCACAACAGCACGAAACTGTTTGAGGCTCCTGGGGCATATGGCCTCCTGCCTGTATGTAGTTCAATATACTGGACTCAACTCCAGAATTCCTCAGAGTGGGTTGGCATCTATCTATTCGCTGCGCCTCCATTAGCTAGAGTTGGTGATGAGAATGACTTATATTCTTGGCTCCTTTGATTGATGGACAGGTTCAGCCAATGTATGTGTAGGTGTTCCATTTGCCTGCCTGCAGCTGATGCTCATGCTAGTGATGGATGTGTCTGCCTGGGATGGGGAATCCATTTGGGTTCTCTGCAGACTCAGGATTTCTGGTCCTTGGAACACTTAGCTTTCAGCCCTGCCATTGATGTGTAAAACTATCGACCGTAGTGCCAGATGTTTCTTGCACATCAAGAAAAAGTCTGTTAGTCCTTACATACAACACAGCAGTAATGTTCTGTCTCAAGCAGGGAGGAGCCAACTTTTTCCACTCTATCAAGAGGCAGCTTTCCATTGGTAGCTTGATAGATCTAAAGCTTCTTATCTTTGGGGGTCCAAAATGATCCAACAGACCACCTGATCAGATTGCTTATGAGTCACTGAGTAGTCTTGGTCCAGATACATCCTCCATTGGTGGGGTTTCCCCAAGTAGACCTGTTTGTGACAAGGAAAAGTGTCAGCAGTTCAGCTCCCTGCTAGATTGCAGCCCAGGTTCCCTGACAGTCGCTGTTTTTGCTGCCGTGGTCAGGCAGCCCATTTTACACTTTTCCCCCAATCCCACTCATTCAGAGGGTATTACTAAAGATAAGATGTGACCAAGCCAGAGTCGTACTCGTGGCTCCAGCCTGAGCCCATGAACACTGGTTCTTCACTCTCTTGGCAGTGTCAGTGAAACCTCCAATCTCACTTCCACTAAACTGAGACCTAATCTCTCAAGGTCATGGGCGCCTACTCCAACTGCATGGATGCTCCGGTGCTAATATTAGAGAGTGATCTTGCTTGAAAGAGGTTCAGGAGGTCCTTCTAAATAGTAGAAAGTTTTCTACAAGAGCTACTTATCTCTCTTAAATGAAGGCATTTTTCCATTTGTTCTTGCCAGTGGTGGGGTATTGCTGTCCTGTTCTTTGGTTCAACATATTCTGGACTAATTATTGTACCGAAAACACCAAGGTTTGGCTGTTAGTTCAATCAAAGTACATCTGGCAGCTATTTCAGCATTCCACCCTAAAGAAGATAATCACTATTTTCTCTAATGACATATCTACAAGGTTTTTGAAGGGCCTAACAAGTTGTGTCCTCAGGTACAAGATGGTAATTCTCCATGGGACCTAAACTTGGTGTTTGTCCAGTCTGATGGGTCTGGCATTTGAACCTTTGGCTACTTGCTCTCTGCTGCCTCTGCCAGTGAAGATGATACATTCAGTGGCCATCACTTCTGCCAAAAGGGTAGGAGAAGTATGTGCCTTAATGTCGGGGCCTTCCTATATAATATTCTTTACGGACATGGTTAATTTGCATTCTCACCCCAGGTTCATTCCAAATGTGGTGTTTTTTTCCATATCAACCAGTCCATTTGTTTGCCTGCATTCTTCCCGAAGCCACATTCGAACAGGGAGGGAGGAGCGTTTTACATACCTTGGACATCAGAAGAGCTCTGATATTCTATTTGTGCAGGACCAGGCACTTCCATAAGTCCTACTAACTATTTATAGTGGTGTCAGACAGAATAAAGGGACAATCCGTCTCTGTGCAAAGAAACTTTTCTTGGATCAACTCTTATATGTGCACGTGCTATGTCCTGGATAATGTCACCCCACCGATCAGTCACAGCTCGTTTGACAAGATCAGTGTGCTTTGATGGTGTTTCTGCCACAGGTTCTGGTTGTAGATGTTTGTAGAGTGGCAACTTCCTCCTCAGTCCACACATTTGCCTCCCATTATGCTGTTGCTCAAAACTCCAGAGATATGGCTAAAGTTGGATGAGGAATTCTCCAATCTCTATTTAAATAGATTCCAATTCCATACTTTAGGCATCAGTATTTCTATTATAGCTTATTGTTTCCTGGGATTTATAACTTAGTTGTAAAAACTTGCTTCAGGCACATTGAAAGCACCGACCTGATAATACCACAGAACCTCCAAAGAACCCATTCCCAATTCTGTTATGCCAATGGAAAATCACATCATATTGAGGGGTTTTAGATCAACTTAAAAAAAAAAGTAAGTCACTTTAAATTAGAGATTCATGTGTAGGGATTCCCCTCTAGTCATTATTGCTTGCATAGTGTAGCACGTAAATAGCGGCTAGAATTTTCAAAGTAGCCAATGAGTTGAACACCGAATTTATATTGACTTTCACTGGGAGTTGAGCCCCTGACTCCCTCAACCAACAGCTTACCTCAGTTACCTACAATGTCAAGACACAAAGGGAAGGGTTGAGGGCACAATGGGTGTCAATTCTAAATTCCCTTCCTTTGCAGGTTCACTTTTCACACCTAATGTTGATGGACATGCAATTTTTGTTAATTGTCCAGTATTCTTAATATCTGGATCTAGGGGCAAAAAAACCCCTAAAAAGGTCAAATCAATATAAATGCTGTTTTGCAAAAGAAGGCATCTTTAGTATTTCACTGCTTGGTTTGGCTTCGTGTTCCGTTATGTGATTTTTTTTTAATTGCATTTTAATTACATAGTGCTTTGAATGCTTTGACAGGTTGAATGACTTCTGAATAGTATGTATCCAAAACAAACTCAGTAGTGACAAATTAAATTCCCTCTAACAATGTTGTACTTCATATATAAATGCTTGACATTTTGAAATGGTGTAAAAATACATCCTAGAAGTAGAACATATTTCACGTTTCCAAACCAGACTCGTGGGAGTCAAGTAGCCTACCAGACGGATTGGCATTTCACTGGAAAACAGTGTTTGGAAAGATAAAATCTTGTTTGTTTGACTCTTAACAGTTACAAATGTGGTGTTCTGTTTTCAGGGCTTTCTGTGTTAGTACTGTTGGTTTAAGATGAATCTGACACTGTGTATGTCTACGCTGCAATCGAAAGCATAATTGCCGTTTGAGTAGGCATGCCCATGCTAGCTGTAATCTAGCTTTTCTAGCGTTATCTAAAAATAGCAGTGCAGCAGCATAGTATTGGCTTCATCTCAAAGTTTACAAGTATTCCTAGCCCATGCTGAAGTCTGTGCTGCTGCAGCTTCATTGCTAGCCATGCTAGTTAGATTAAAGCTAGCCTAGGTATGTCACCGTTCACTGCAATTACGCTTTTGATTGCAGTGCGGATTTACCTTTTCTTGAGGTCATGCAGTTACTGTGGGTAATGGCATATCACTCACGCTTTAACAGAAATGAACTATGGAAAAATGAGTGGGAAATTTATTGATACAAACCTATGAAGGCAAATATGAAAGGCTTAAAATACATTTTGAAGATTAATTTAATCCATAGGATGTGTATTTATACTTTAGATAAGAATGTGATGCTTCATTTATAAAGAGAAAAATCATGCTTGAGGTAGGACATCACACTCAGACCAACATAACCATAACTTACTTCAGTTAATACATGTGTTTTTGTTTTCCATGTCCATTAACATGTTTTGTTCCTTTACAATTTACAGCACAGAACTCTGCAAATGCAGGTTTTGCAAACTTTGATGCATTTGGACAGTCTAGTGGTTCGAGTAATTTTGGAGGTTTCCCCACAGCAAGTCAGTCTCCTTTTCAGCCCCAAAATACAGGTAGACTACTAGCACTTCTGATTAATTTTTACAAAATAATCCAGACGTACAAGTGAGAAAGTACTTCAGTTTACTTCCTGCATCTGCCTGCTTTAACACAATCATAATCTGAAGCTCTGGGGAAACCTGAAATGAATGCCTTTTTCTGTTTGGTTATTTGGTATGGGTTTTTTGGTTTTCTTTTTGTTTTACTTTTTTCTGGCACTTTTGGGAAGTCTCCTAATTTATGATGATGTCGCTTATAATTAGCCCTACACATGAAATATTTGTAAGCTTACTGAATGTAACTATATTGGTACTTCTGAATGTCAGGCCACATTTATCTAAAGGAGATTACATCTGTGATTTCCATCTTCCAAGAGAAGATTTCAGTAAAGATAGATAATGCAGACCAGAGTAATACAAGTATTGAATATATTTACCACACAGATGCATGTTAGCCACTCAGTTATCAGAAGATTTCATGTGTAAGGTCTATTGCTAAATTCTTATTTTGCTTTTCTTGTTAATTTGATCATACTTTTAAACTTTTGCTTGGGCTGACAGTTGCTGTTTGTCTAATCTTTGGCTGACTACTTTTCCTTTTTTCCTTTTGAATGTGGTGTCATTTAAACTTCCTTTTTAATTTTTTTCTCCCTTTTGTTAACTTTAATCCCCTTCACACAATTTCTGGCTATCCAGCGTTCAGAACGCTTTCATCTAGCTGCAGTTTTGGCGAATTTACTTCAGCTTTCCCTCTCCAGGCTGTACACAGTAAGTTCCATTGAGTAGGAAACTTAGTTTTTTGTTTTATATGCCATTGTGTTTTTTTTAGTTCTGCCCTTACATATATTTTCACCAGTCATTGCTAATGTCTGTGCTTGCTTTTAAAATTATCAAATTGCTAATGGTTTATTAATAGTTAATGTGGACTTGAGTACTCAACCAAGTGTACGTACGTGTACACGCACATACACCTTTTTCTATTAAACTAAAATGTAAATCTGACTTGCGCATATGAACAGAATCCTCTGTCCACAGAGAAGATCTGGAAACTCATAAATTAATACCTTTTTAGAGACTTAAACATAAAATTTGTTGCACACATTAAAAAGCTGGAGCTTTCAAACTGATTCCTATATTTCAGATCAGCAGAGTGTTAGTATAAATCCTAATAGAGTGATTTATTTACTTGAGTATATTTAATGTGTATCCTAGGAAAATAACTTTTTTTCTTTGAAAGGAGGGCTCTCAAATCCCTTCTGTTCTTTTCCTTTATCTCCCCTCCAAAAGGCTGTGTTGTCTGTCTGTCTCTGTCTGGGTGCAGCCATGACATCTGGGAGTAAAGGACTGAGTTAGTCTCTCTGAACCTTGGCCTGGTATCCCATTGTGCTACCTCTGGACTTTCAGGCTAACCTTTTTTGCCTGCAGTGGTTACTGATGTCTGAAATAGTCAAGCATATTGTACCATTGAGGAAAATAAAGCAACTCCTACTTATTTTGCTGAATTCTTGCAGCAGCAAAAGCTGTATTTTGGATTTATAAAATTAAAGCTAATTTAACTCAAATTTTTTCTAGCTAAATATGTGAGATGTTTGAGTTGACTTAATGATGTTGCACTGAAACATAATTTTGCGAGAGCTAATTACGGTGTGTGAAAGCTATTGAATTTTCAGTGTTTTCTTCAGATTTAGAAGTTTATAGATATAAATGTGCTCATTCTGATTCAAGATTAATTTTAAGTGTGTTAGAGGGGCTTTAGTTAGCCTGTGGGATAAAAAACAAAAGTGATGTTACTGCCTGGTGTAACCACCAAGAGGTGGGATGATATTGCCACCAAGAGCATTTGGAGAGACTTTCCTATACCTTTAAAGTATCCATGTTTAACTTATTTTGTTACAGGTGGAAGTGCTGGATCAATGAATGCTAACTTTGCTCACTTTGATAACTTCCCCAAATCCTCCAGTGCTGATTTTGGAGCCTTCAATGCTTCTCAGAGCAACACAACGGCAACTGCCCCCAGTAAAGTTGCAGTGAATAAACCGAATCTCCAGTCAGCAGACAAATATGCAGCTCTTGCTAATTTAGATAATATCTTCAGCACAGGGCAAGGTATTAAAGTTTTTTTTCTTTGACCTGTTATCCTTCATTTTTATTCCTTATGAGGATGGCTGTGCCTGTCAAAATGGTAACAAACCATGTTAAGCATGCTTTAGATTGTCTCTTCAAAAAATTCTAATTAACTTCACACTTGCACATTTTAAACTCCTATATTGCCGTGCTGCTTCTTGTAACAAAGCAAATTCTTTAATCTATGCAGTCATGTGCAAAATAGTACTTATCAAAAAGATCATGCTTCTTTTATGAGCCGATCACTCAAAAAAAATTGTCATGAGTGATAAGTATTGTAGTAGTACATTATTCAGGTTTCTGTGTATTGCTGGAGTGGGCGACTTTATTCATTCAATCACACCAGTTGCGGGTCTAAGATATTTTTTACCTTTACAATTAAAAGCCACCATGATAGCTTCTTTAGATGTTCATATAACGTAAAGCTTGACTAGTCTTTCTCTCTTAAAGGAGATTACAACTGCTAGTGTTTAACGGGTTGGTTTTGTATGCACACTAAGGTAACCATATATTGAACAAGGATGGTAACATGAATTTCATTGGAGTTTAAGTTGGATTCAGTCCAGCATACTACAATGGTAAATAAGTCATGTATATCAGCTTCTAAGCAAAACTGATACAGTATATGGCTTTGTTAATATTCTTTCCCTTAAAGTTGTGTGGTTTTGAGGAGGGCAGTGCTTGACTGACTCTTAGGATGAGCCATTATTCTAATTGTGGAGTAGACACTGTCTGCTCCATAACTAAGTAGTTTGTAGCTATTCTGACAAACATTGCTGTTATATGTGTGTTCAACACAAATAAACAACAGGACTATGAGGTGCACTATCAAGAGTCGCTCAGTGTTTGTATCTCCATTGACCTGGCAATGTTTATGGAGGGATAAGGTACACAGGTGTTCAAAAATACCCTACTTTTAATCACAAGTTGTCCAATTTTTTGATTGCTTCTGCATGCTTTAGTGCATATTTGCTAGATAGACTACGTTAGCTCAGTGAAACTTACTTAAGGGTATCATGAGGTGGCATAACTACTCTTGTTCTTACATTTTACCTACAAAAAATCCTTAAATTACTCTCCTTTGTCAACTTTTTTGTTCATATTCTTCCATATTCCAAAAAGTAGGTGTTATTGCTCAGTGCACCTCTACACTGTTGTACACTTCCAGTTTTTTTGAACACGTTAGACTTCTTGGTTACAAAATACCATACACTGGTGCTTGTAAAATAATCTATGGAATTTTTCCTCTCAGTGGCAGTCTGCTGAGAACAGGTATCCTTGGAAACGAGACAATTCTATACTGTTACCTATCATTTTGTTCTCCTGAATTTGATACACTGGATCTGTATCATTTATTTAGCATCTTTTCAGGATTTGGAGTGCAGTTACCCTCTTAGGGCATAAATGAAAATAAGCCACCAGTTGGAAGATATGACATGGCTTTTGTGACACATACTGCATGGTTCATGAATTCAGTCTTTAGTGGGAAATACCATACAGGAGGCTAGGGAATACTCCACAGCATATGGTTAGGAGTCACAAGAACCTGGAAGTGTGAGTTTCCGCAGGATTATACTTTGAGATAATAGTGAAGTAAGAGTCCATCATTCTGTAACTTAATTGTTAGATTTCTTATGCCTCGTTGCTTTCTAAATGTACAAAAATTTCAAAGCTGTACTCTAAGGATGAGTCATGCACAACATACTAAGGTTTAAAACAAATCCATCTTTCTAACTGGAGCAAGAGAGAGCAGTGTACTTCACTTAATAATGCGATCAGGGGAAACTAGGAAGCCACTTTTGGAGTGATAGACCCATTGAAGTATGGTACTGTGTGCTTATAAAGATAGAGATTGGGAGCCATAGTGTATTAGAGCGGCACTAAGTTTTATTGTTTAATTTTAGTCTTAAAGGATGGGAGAACAGTTAATTAACATTTTCTGTTAGTATGGAGAAGATTATAGGGAAAACATGGTTTTAGAAGTGTCATTTTAAATTTCAATATGGTATCTTCTTTTCTAGGTGGTAGTGAGCAAGGAAGTGGCTTCGGCACTGTAGTTACAGCACCGTCAGGTCCTGCTGTGTCAGCCCCAAGTCAGCCAAGTGCATCTTCAGACAAGTATGCAGCTCTAGCAGAATTAGACAGTGTGTTCAGCTCCACAGCAACCTCTAGTAATGCATATACTTCCACCAGTAATGTTAGCAGGTACTTTTTCTTGTTAGAAGTTAAAGTAATTAGCCCTAAACCAACTGTATTTATAGGCAGAAAAATAGCCCTATGGTAGTGTTGATAAAGTTTTTAAAAAACCTGCTTGTATTCAACTGTTCTTCTTTGTTTAGGTCACGATTTAAAAATTGTAGGGAAATAATTCTGGAGAGGAGTTAGTTGGGTGTTGACTTCAGTGTCCTTACTAAAACTGCATCTTTTCTTAACGGTAGTTGTGGTTGTACTGCCCGCTAGAGGTTGTAAAATGAAACTGAAGCAAGTGTTTATCAGTGAAACACTTTTTTACACCTTCCTAGACAACACACACTAAATTCTATTGGAGGATAACAATCCTCCATGTGGATTACTTGCATGCATATTTAAGCGTATAGCCTTGTAATTGGTAAGAGATTGGTTTTGAAAAGTGAGACATTTGCAATGTACGTTTTTAAAAAAAATTTTTAAAGTAATTAAAAGCACGCCCCTGTAGTAACTTTTTGCTTGGAAATGCAAATTTCCCTAAAGCTTTTGCTTGGCAGCCTATGCCTATTTCTTTGTTTTCTCCTCAATGTCCATACTTTTACACTTTGCCACTGGCAGACAGGGTTTACCATTGCTCAGCGCTAATATATTTAGCCTTTGACCTTGGCATCAGAATTCAACTGCTGGTGCTAATGGATTATATAGCATTTCAAATCTGTGCCTAAATATCCCTTCTCTACTCTGCTTTTATCTGCCAAAATTAATTGTAGATGTTAAATGTTAAAGGAGCAACACTGACTTCAATGAATGTGAATTATTTTCAGCAATGCTTTTGGAACAGTACCAGTGGCTGCTACTGCACAGACACAGCCTGCATCTTCGAGTGTGCCTGCTCCGTTTGGAGGTATATTAAAATACTACTACTGTTTATACAGACTGTAAGCAAACATATTACTAAATTTTAGTCCCATTGTATAGTAGTACTAATGACTTCACTGTCATTAGAAATGATGACGTAACTGTTTCCAGTGCAGGCAATATGATGTAAGTAGTCTAAAATATCAGTGGTGGTTGTGAGTGTGTTTAAAAAATATATATATCCTGTCGTACCCAATGCAGAAAAGGTATGGAAAAACTTCTTATGTAAAGTTATTTCTGACTGTATTTGTCTTTGTGAAGGTTGTGTAGAACAAATATATATCCATGCTGGGTAAAATTTTTTTTTTTAATTAATTTTTCTTAATCTTTCAGCAACACCTTCCACAAACCCATTTGTGGCTGCGCCTGTCGCTCCAGTGGCACCTTCAACAAACCCGTTCCAGAGCAATAGCCGAGGAGCAACAGGTTAGAAAAATAAAATTGCACTGTACCGTTTTATATGCTATACATACATTTTTAATTTCAAAACTTCATTATATTTGTAGTTTCATAATTTTATTTTTTAGAGATTGCCTGAAAATAGGTCATGCACAAGTTAATGTAAAATTCTGCACTCTGTTTTTTAAGTAAAAGAGCACAATGTTTAAATAAGACGTATAGCCAAATTGTCAAATAGTTGTTTAAGTTGAAATGACATTTCATTTTGACCTTTTCAAAACATTGCCAAGCCTCCAGGCAGCCTGCCTAGTGAGGAGCCTGGACGTTCTGGGAGTCCCAGCTGTGGGGCAGACCACCTGGAGGGCGGCCCCAGTGCCACAGACTCTGTAAGCCATTGGAACCTGAGCTTCCAAGAGCTGTTAAATTGGCTCCTGGCTCCCCATCAGAGAGGCTGCTAAGGAGCCAGGAACCAGGACTGCCAAGGAGCCTGGTAGGTGACTAGCAGGAATCCAGGCTAGGTAGGTTTTTTTAAAATGCCTGGCTTCCATCTCTATTGTCATAGTCTCATGGAACATTTCAGTTTCAGTGATTTGCTATTTTCTGGTGTAAGAATGTTCCATTCAGAATTTTTCCAACCAGCTCTAGTAATCCTGTTCTGTCTCTTAAATTCCCTCTCCAATTTTAATTGGCTACAGCATTGACCTGTTGTGTTGTTTTAAACCTGTTGTGTAGTACTTATTGCTGTTACATGCTAGATGTGATTGCGTTACAGTGTTGGCTGTAAGAGTTTCTTTATACAGTTTGAAAAGCGCTTTGGGGTACTCAGCAGTGAAAGGCAGCATCTGTAGGGCACCTTAGTTCCAGCTAGCTGCAGAATATAAATTTTGTTGCACTTGGAAATTCTGCAGCAGTTTCATTTAGAATAAAAATATAAAAAATTAATAATGCAATCAGTATAGTAGCCCCTATGATTGTTTGTTTGTTTTTTATACTAAACTATCCACCATGGAATGCAGAGTGGGATTGAGTTAAGAACACTTGTTGGATATTTAAGTATTTGAAACAGTTAAGTGTGACATTTACACTGTCACTGTCAGAATTTACACCCCATTTAAATGAATGGAGCAATTCTAGCTTTTATCATTCTCTGCACCCTCAAAGACAAACCCCACATCCATTCACGTTTACAGGTTTTTCCTTCCCTACTGTTAGGATGAGAAATCCTTTTAAATGATAGCTTAAATTAATGGAGCACAAGTCTGAGACAAGAAGTGAATTCTGCAGAATCCATGAGGCCATGACTCCATATGTAAAATAGTTTAATTTATAAATTGAAAAACCAGTTTAATGTTCCTTCTTACAATACAGTGCTCCTCAGTTTAGACACTACTACAAGTTTAATACTTTATTCTGTGATTAATTCTTTATCTGCAATGCTGAATTTTAGGATTGTCCCCATGTGGCAACTGTGGCTATTCTGCCATTTAATAGACTCTGCTGTTCGGTTAAAACCTTTGGTATGCCACCAAAATTCTCTCCTTTATTTAATATCATCCCAGTATTACGATCTGTACCACTTTGGACTATCTTTAAAAATTTCTGTCATTCTCTTGTATCCTTGAAAAAATTTAGCTTTAAAGAGGCTGTTGGAATTACCTTCAGAAGGTCTCTGCCAGATAGTGACGTAGGATATGCCCTACACTTCCTGCAGTTTGAACTGTGCGGGTGTGAGCTGTGCTGTAACTCCCCTGTATGGATGCTGCAGATGTGAACTAGCAGGCTCCTAGTTTACATTAATATAATCCTCCTCAAACAGGGTTATATTAATGTGCAGTAGTAACCTTCTAGTTCACATCCACACAAGGAGTTACAGTTCAGCGCTTTGGTGTGCACTGCTGTTCACTCCCTCGTAGGCTGAACTGCAGGGCAGTATAGACAAGCCCTGTGACAAGTGTGAAGGTTGTTTTTTAGATTAACCCTTTAAAACAAATTCTATTCATCTACTTCTATGTTCCCTTACTTCTGAAAACATGCTGTCCTTTGAAAAAGTGAAAAAGAGTACAAGTTTTACTGTACTCCAGTTACGGATCTGATAGGATATTGTAATTAACATTTTCTGTGTCACAAGTTCCTTTCTGCAAACGTGATAAGTATAATAAGATTGCATATAATTTAGCTTTATGCTATATTTGCATCTCGTGTGCAGTATAAATGGGTTTGGTATAAACTTTATAGTGTATTTTAGAAAAAAGCCTTTGACTTTGTTAGCATAATTATTTCAGGTAACATATAATTTACCAATTGGTCTGCAGTACACTTGATAAATTCAAAGCTTAGTTGTTAGAAAATTTTTACAGGTTTTAAAAAAGCTCTTTAATCACTGCACTTTTTGTCATGTAAAATAGTTGTATAAAAATGACTGTTCACAAGTATATAAATCATTTGACATTGGTCTTTTTGTGGCTTTCCATAAGGCCTCTCGGGAGCAATGCACTCTCACATATTTCCTCAGGCTCATTTTGGTAGGTGGCCACATTTGATATCTGAGTTTCATGTGGCTAATTGTTTACTTTGTTGTGAAAACTTATTGCTAGCTTCCTGGTTCTCTGCATGTAAATTTTGAGTAAGCTGTTTTCCATATTTTAAAATGGAGTGAGCATGGATGTGTGGCACTTGGAAAAAAATTGGCATTGTCTTAGTATAATTTTTTTATTTGCATCAAGCAATTAAGTCATTATTGCTTACCTCCATGGTCACGTTAGTAGATGCTTACAACTTATTTGAGTAAATTCTTTGAAGCTTGCTTGTAGTAAGTTTGACACCTTTTGGATATCCTAAACCATTGTGACAAATTGTGCAATGGTGTTTGGGTTTGCTGTTTTGTCAAGCTGTTCACAATTAAATAGCCTCTTCTGTTGATGGTAATTTGTGAAAGTAATGTCAATGCATTCTTTGATAATTGTACTGTGTCAATTATCTGTTTACTTTATATCCCATACTTATCTTATTCTGTTTAATGGTTACTTAAATATATACACTCTCTCACCATTCCTTTCATAGAATCATAGAATATCAGGGTTGGAAGGGACCTCAGGAGGTCATCTAGTCCAACCCCCTGCTCAAAGCAGGACCAATCCCCAACTAAATCATCCCAGCCAGGGCTTTGTCAAGCCTGACCTTAAAAACTTCTAAGGAAGGAGATTCTACCACCTCCCTAGGTAACGCATTCCAGTGCTTCACCACCCTCCTAGTGAAAAAGTTTTTCCTAATATCCAACCTAAACCTTCCCCACTACAACTTGAGACCATTACTCCTTGTTCTGTCACCTGCTACCACTGAGAACAGTCTAGATCCATCCTCTTTGGAACCCCCTTTCAGATAGTTGAAAGCAGCTATCAAATCCCCTCTCATTCTTCTCTTCTGCAGACTAAACAATCCCAGTTCCCTCAGCTTCTCCTCCTAAGTCATTGTTCCAGTCCCCTAATCATTTTTGTTGCCCTCCGCTGGACTCTTTCCAATTTTTCCACATCCTTCTTGTTGTGTGGGGCCCAAAATTGGACACAGTACTCCAGATGAGGCCTCACCAATGTTGAATAGAGGGGAACGATCACGTCCCTCGATCTGCTAGCAATGCCCCTACTTATACATCCCAAAATGCCATTGGCCTTCTTGGCAACAAGGGCACACTATCTCCAGACAATAGTTTACTTTTCAGTTAATCAAATGTGTTGATTTGGAATTAAATTTGTGCAAATTTTATACCAAAGAAAGTTAAATTAAAAGAATGGTTACACTCAATGCTGAATTAGAGCAAAAATGCCTGACATTTATGTTCATACCAAAAAGCTTTCCGTGTGCTATTTATTTAATATTATTCACAGTAAACCCCGAAGGATTTAGTAATGGTTTTGTTGTTAGTCACACTGTGCTACTCTTACTCAACATTTCTCTGAAGACATGCCTAGTTTGTTCTACCTGGAATGTTCAGTAACAGTGATGCAGATGAGATTTTTTTAAAGCATCACCTCAATCTTAAACTAAGGAATTCTGTGCTAGGAATTTTGTATACGAGTCTGAGCATAGTAAGAAGTTATTTTAAAAGAACACTGAAGATTGATTTTACAACTTTATCTCATTGTTTATAATTTCACCTTGGAAATTATAAACTGAAATTTTTCAGACCTAACATTTTCTTTCTTTGAACATACATGCTGTTTTTTTGGTGTTGCCTATAAATACTGGCCTCCACATTAACTCTTTACCAGAAATAACTTTTGGAAGCACTTGAGTAGAAGTAAAACATGGAAAAGAATTCCATTGACTTTACAGATGCTAATGTAATCAAAAAAGTTGGACCCAGCCAACTTGACGGTGTTCTACTCGCAGTTTAGCTTTAATTTTTTTTATTTTGCATGTGTTTTATTTAATTTCTAGTGAGCAAATTAATTTAGTGTTACTGGAAGCTGAGACTAACCCGCCCAGTGGCTGTTGGGCGGGTATTAGAAAGCTAGCAAGATTCTTCTTAGTGGCATTGTAGTACATTTTGTATAAGAAATTACTTGTAAATTAAAAATAATTGAATGTTACTTCACTTGCCAGCGGCTACATTTGGCACAGCATCCATGAGCATGCCTGCAGGATTTGGAACTCCTGCATCCTACAGTCTTCCTACTAGCTTCAGTGGCAATTTCCAGCAGCCTGCCTTCCCAACCCAGGGAGCTTTCCCACAACAGACTGCTTTTGCTCAGCAACCAAATGGTAAGTTCATACATACCAGAAATCTTGGTTAAGCAATGGGACTATGTAAAGGAAATTCCTTGCATGTAAGGAGCAGGCATGACAGGAGTATACCTTAATTGTTGTGTCAGTTGTGGTACATTGCTACTAGCAAAAAACATAGAGTATTGCATAGTCAAACTACATTTTAGCAATCCAAGACAATACTTAACTTCTAATGTACATTTTCCTTATCTTGGATCTTTTGGGATGATCTTGCAACTATATAATTGCAGGACTAAAGAACTTGGTTTCTTCATGGTCTTTTATGGCATGGTATAATCTTTGTCAAATGTCTCCAATTTTATTGCTATAACTATGATCGCTATCTCAAAATGATAGTGAGACTTTTTATATGGATTTTTTACTAAAACTTTTGTGCAGGGAAGGAGACTGTATGTGTCTGGAACCTATTACAACATATTTCCTCAAACCTTAAAAAAGAGAGAGGGCTAGAGAGCATAAAAGAAAATAGCCTAAATTATTTTTTAATGAATTTTTACATGCAGGAAAAGGTCCAAAAAGAAAACTGTGCACTGGAATATAGTCAGGAAGGAATAACTTTGGAACCTTTAGAAATAACCACCCAACTCTTGCTTCCTTTTTTCAGTAACACAGAAGTAGCTACTTTGTTTTTCCTATTCTTTAACATTTTATATTAACACTGATTAATGCACTTGTAACTATAATTAATATTATAAAGCCCTATCTCTGGTGGTATTGGTTCAATAATATTTGTTGGTATTAGCTTTAGGGAGGCAGAGTATTCAGATTCTGAACACTTAAAAAGATGCTGTAATTTACTGTGCTACTGTACTGTTACTTTGTACGAAATGTGTAGTAGAAAATCACAATGATTTGGCCTTCCTTCTTCCTGGAAAACCATTAATAGTCCTGGCTTATAGCAAGGCTTGGAAGGATTAGGTTTTTATTGGTAAATGTTTATAAACATTGATATCCCTGTGTGTACACAAACTGAACAGAGATGTCAGTTAACAATAGAAATTTACAGGTAGGCAAAATAAGAAAATTGCTGCTTGAGAACTTATTTGAATTTAAATCCAGTGATTTAAGACTTTTGAATTAGGCTTGTTACAAGTGGACTAACATGAATCATGTAAACAGCTATGATTTGTTGATTTAAGCATATTTAATTTGTATATTGTGTCGTGGTGTTGACAATTTGTGTTTTAAGGGTTTACAAAGCTTTAATTTTTTGAATCGCAATATCTCTAATTTTTACAGCTGAAAAACTTAATTTGAACTTGTATTGTTAGTGTGTTTAGCATTTTACTCACCTTACGTGATGAAAATTGTTTCACATCCATGTTCACTCTGATTACGTTAAATTGATTAGAAACTTACTCGTGTGTCATGTACTAGAACAACATTAGAGCGTTTTGGCTTAGAAACAGTCATGGGAATTCTCAAAACACGTTTCCATAGGAATTGAAAGAAAATTCATAGATTTATGCAAAACTTCAAAAGCAATTTTAAACATTTATATTTAGAGAGGCTAAATTATGGACCGGATTTGTCCCAGTCCTGCTGCCTTGATAGACAAATTACCAATGTACTAAAACGTTTAACCTGTGTCACTGTGATGGGAGTGGGCTTTAAAGGCTTGGCCGCCATTATGAAGCTACTTCTAACATCTTTTATCTTGACAAGGTGCAGGTTTTGCTGCATTTGGACAGGCAAAGCCTGTAGTAACCCCCTTTGGACAAGTTGCTGCTGTTGGAGTATCTAGTAATCCTTTTATGGTAAGTGAGAATTATTACACAGTAATAGTAAATCTTACAGGTCCAAAAAGAGATGTAATCTACAATACATTTAATTTAGATACGCATGCAGCTTGATTTTGTTTTAAATTAGGGAACGCAGCATGTGATCTCCAAATGCAATTCAGTATTCAGATGACATGGCATTGATAAGGCAGTTCAAAATCAGACCGAGGTATTTATGTACAATGATCTTATTAGGGGTGTACAGTAACACCTTGCTTAACGTTGTAGTTATGTTCCTGAAAAATGCTACTTTAAGCAAAACGGCAATGGTGATTGTGAGTGGAAGAGGGTGGGATATTTCCCAGGAAATGTCTTACGGCTAAATGATGAACTAGCACTTGGCTGAGCCCTCAAGGGTTAACATATTGTTGTTAATGAAGCCTAACACTCTGCAAGGCAATAGGAATGGAGGGAGGAGACCCAACATGGCAGAGAGAGACACACACACGCAGACACACACACCCTGTGTGCGAGAAAGAAACTCACATTGTCCCTTTAAGTACAGACCCCACTTTAAGTACATTGCCTTTTTAAGTAGATCAGCAAGTTGAGACAGCAGCTGCTGCCAGCAAGCTCCCTCTCTCCTGAGCCGTGTCGTGTCCCGTCCCCCCACTCTATGGGAGAAGGACACCCTAACATTAGCACGCCTCTTCCTTCCCTCTCCCCCGCCCCCAGCAAGCAGGAGGCTCCCAGGAGCAGCATGTGGGGGGAGGGACAGCTGAACTGCCTGGCAGTTGGCAGCCTGCTGTACGGCTGCTGCACAGGGAACTTAGGGGAGCGGGGAGCTGATGGGCCATCCTGGTCCAAGCCCCCACCAGCTAGCTGCAACAGGATGCTCTTCCTGCAAGCAGTGGACAAAGCAGGTGGCTGCCAAACAATGCCATTAGGGAGCATTGCGCAACTTTAAATGAGCATGTTCTCGAATTGGTCAGCAACATAACAATGAAACAACATTAACCAGGAGGACATTAAGTGAGGAGTTACTGTATTTTAAAATAAACCACCAAAAAGCACAACAATACATAAAGTATTAAGTAGGGCTGTCGATTAATCGCAGTTAACTCATGTGATTAACTCAAAAAAAATAACTACGATTAAAAAAATTAATGGCGATGAATTGCACTGTTAAACAATAGAATACCAATTGAAATTTATTAAATATTTTTGGATATTTTTCTACCTTTTCAAATATATTTATTTCTATTGCAACACAATACAAAGTGTACAGTGCTCACTTTATATTTTTTATTACAAATACTTGCACTGTAAAAATGATAAACAAAAGACATAGTATTTTTCAATTCACCTAATCTCTTTATCATGAAAGTGTAACTTACAAATGTAGATGTATTTTTTTTTTTTTGGGTTACATAACTGCACTCAAAAACAAAACAATGTAAAACTTTAGAGCCTACAAGTCTACACAGTCCTACTTCTTGTTCAGCCAATTGCTAAGACAAAACAAGTTTGTTGACATTTATGGGAGATAATGCTGCCTGCTTCTTATTTACAATGTCACCTGAAAGTGAGAACAGGCGTTCCCATGGCACTTTTGTAGCCGGCGTTGCAAGGTATTTATGTGCCAGATATGCTAAACATTCATATGCCCCTTCATGATTTGGCCACCATTCTAGAGGATATGCTTCCATACTGCTGATGCTTGTTAAAAAAATAATGCGTTAATTAAATTTGTGACTGAACTCCTTGGGGGAGAATTGTATGTCTCCTGTTCTGTTTTACCCGCATTTTGCCATATATTTCGTGTTATAGTAGTTTTGGATAATGACCCAGCTCATGTTCGTTTTAAGAACACTTTCACTGCAGATTTGACAAAACGCAAAGAAGATACCAATGTGAGATTTCTAAAAATAGCTACAGCACTCGACCCAAGGTTTAAGAGTCTGAAGTGGCTTCCAAAATCTAAGAGTGACGAGGTGTGGGGAATGTTTTCAGATGTCTTAAAAGAGCAATACTCCAATGCAGAAACTACAGAACCCGAACGACCAAAGAAGAAAGTCAACCTTCTGAGGGTGACATCTGACTCAGATGATGAAAATGAACATGCGTCAGTCTGCTCTGCTTTGGATAGTTTCTATCAGAACCTATTATCAGTATGGACGCATGTCCTCTGGAATGGTGGTTGAAGCATGAAGGGACATATGACTCTTTAGCGCATCTGGCACGTAAATATCTTGCGATGCTAGCTACAACAGTGCCACGCGAATGCCTGCTCTCTTTTTCAGGTGACATTGTAAACAAGACGTGGCAGCGTTATCTCCTGCAAATTGTAACCAAACTTGTTTGTCTTAGCGATTGGCTGAAGTAGGACTGAGTGGACTTGTAGGTTCTAAAGTTTTATATTTTGTGTTTTGAATGCAGTTTTTTTTGTACGTAATTCTACATTTGTAAGTTCAACTTTCATTATAAAGAGATTGCACTACAGTACTTGTATTGGGTGAATTGAAAAATACTATTTCTTTTGGTTTTTACAGTGCAAATACTTGTAATCAAAAATAAAGTGAGCACTGTACAGTTTGTATTCTGTGTTGTAATTGAAATCAATATATTTGAAAATGTAGAAAACACCCAGAAATATTTAAATGGTATTCTATTATTGTTTAACAGTGCAATTAATCACGATTATTTTTTTTAATTGCTTGACAGCCCTAGTATTAAGCTATAACATAAAAAGCAAATCTTTCTTACCAAGGTAGTGACAGGCTTTTGTTTGTTTTTTATTCCATCCAGAAACAGTACTTTGTTTTAGGGTTTGCCATGTGGAAAAACAGTTTGTGCATTTGATTTTTTTTTTTTTGCATTTGTCTGTTTTTCAGGCTGGTGCACCAGCAGGACAATTTCCAACAGGAAGCTCATCAACCAATCCTTTCTTATAGCCTTATAGACACTTTACCCAAAAGAACTCTTACGTGGTCACAGAACATCTCTGCGCCTCTTGCACTGTTGTCTTGTTTCACTGATCTTAGCTTTAAACACAGGAGAAGTCTTTAATAAAAAACCCTGCATTGTGTATTAAAACCACCAGGTAATATGTGCAAAACGGAGGGCTGTGTTAACATCCTTAACCTGTGAATTGGCAGGAGAAAAGTAGCGGTATCATGTATATTAAAATTGGCTAATAAGTAATTGCAGATACCACATTCGTTCTGCTGCAGTACTGTACATATTTTTTTCTTAGAAAATAGCTATTTGTGCATATCAGTATTTGTAACTTTAACACATGGTTATGTGAAAAATGTTCCTGAGGAAATAGATCAGCCACTTTGAGGTGCTGTTGTATCTCTTGGAATGAATTACCTACATCATTTTAACCATTGCTACTGGAAGTCATGAAGTCAAATTGGAGGTTTTGTTCATTCTCCAAAATGTTTTCCATTCCTAAAGAGCTCTTCTATTTATACATGCCTACATTCTCTATAATGTAGAGGGATACCTGTCTGCCTAATAAAGCTGATCATGTTTTGCTACAGTTTGCAGGTGAAAAAAATAAATATTAGGGGAAAAAAAAAAGACTACGTGTATTCTTGCTGCTGTGCAGTAACAAATAATGGGTTGAAATGTAAGCAGTGTATGTACTTGTATATTGGTCCATTCATGAATACTTAAATAAAACAAGGTAAACAAAGTGAGTCTGCAGGTTTTACAGGTAAATTTGAGGACAAAACTTTCACACAATTCATCAAGTCAACTTAATTCTGACTTGTGACACTGATGTCAGTTCATTTATCTCAGGGGAGGGCAAACTGAGGGCTGAATCTGGCCCGTCAGGGCTTTCAGTCTGGCCTGCGGGATTGCCAGCCACTCCTGGAAGTGGCCGGCCCCATGTCCCTGTGTCCCCTGGGGGTGGGAGGGCAGAGGAGTCCATTCACTGCCCTCGCCTGCAGGCACCGCCTGCCCCCCGCAGCTCCCATTGGCTGGGAATGGGGAACCGTGGCCAATGGGACTTCAGAGGTGGTACCGGCAGGCAAGGGCAGTGCGTGACGGAGCCACCTGCCCCACCCCACCCCAAGGAGCCACTCCCAGACATGCTGGCCACTTCTGCCTTAGCTGCCTTAGCTCTGCTGTGCACTGCCACCCAGGAGCCGCTCGAGGTAAGTGGTGTCAAGCCGGAGCCTGAACTCCTCCTGCCACATCTCACACCCCTCCTGCACCCCTTGCCTTGAGCCCCTTCCTGCACACCACACCTCCTCCCACACCCTGCACCCCAACCCCCTGCCCCAGCCCTACATTCATGGCCCTGCATACAATTTCCTCATCCAGATGTGGCCCTTGTTCCAAAAAGTTTGCCCACCCCTGATTTATCTCCTTATAATACCAGATCAAACTTATGTATTCACTAGGTGTTAGACTGCTGCACTGTTTGTATTTCTAATTATGCATCACTAACAAATACTAAAATTTCTTCAAATGTGGAAGGCTCCATAGTACTTAATTGTGAAGGTGGATAGTGGAAATGTGGAGTAACTTTTTTTAAAATGAATGTTTAGAACCACTATTTTGGAACTTAGGGATGGATTCACAAAGAGGATGTAGGAACTCCTAGGCACCAAGTAGAATTCACAGACCTGGGTTAGGTACCCAGCTCCCCATACAATGCCTGGGGAGAGTTAGGCACCTAAGAAAGGGATTCTCAGAAGCCCACAAACTGAGTGGAGAGCTGCTTAAGTTAAATGCAGAGGAAACAGGCAGGGCTTGGGATTCAGATCCACAAAGGGACTTAAGTGGCTACCTCACATTGATCTGCATCTTAGGTGCCTGTCTCCACGTGGGATTCTCAGCTGTGAACTCTCTCCTGGAGTTAGGGCTACCAAATCAGGTAGAGGAGAAATTTGAAAACATGTGTTCCGCATCCTAGGTGAGTTACGAACTGACCAGTCAACCACACACCTTATTTGACACCAGAGGTATGCAATCAGGCAGCAGCAGAGGACCTCTTTCCCCTCCCTCCTCCCCCCCCCCCACACAAAAGCAAGTATAGTACTGTATTAAACTACTAAAAAAAATACAAGGAAAGTTTTTTAGAAAAAAAGATTTGAGACAATGTAAGGAAACTGTTTCTGTGCTTGTTTCATTTAAATTAAGATAGTTAAAAGCAGCAATTTTCTTCTGCATAATACAGCTTTGAATCATTACTAAGTCACTGTTCAGTTATAAACTTTTGAAAGAAAAACAACGTTTTGTTCAGTGTTACAAACAACCTCCATTCCTTAGGTGTTCGTAACTAAGATTCTGCTGTTCTCGCTATTGGCCCCGATTTGGCAAAACACAAGTACGCATGCTTTTTAAGCCCACATCTCCTCCCCATCCCCGGGAGGAAAAAGGGAGAGAACCACACATGGCAAATGCTAGTTGTGTTGCTTACTGTACTTCTGGAAGCACTCAAGTGATGGCAGTATAAAATTCTGAGTAGAGTAAGTCCCGCTGACTGCAGTGGGACTAAAACACATACTTAGACTGCTGAATCTTAAGTCCTTTGCTGGGCTGTATGCAGAAAAACTAAGTCCTGGTCTACACTGCGAGTTTGTCGGATTTAGCAGCATTAAATTCGAATTAACCCTGCACCTGTCCACACAACGAAGCCATTTTTTCAACATCATGGGCTCTTAAAACCGATTTCTGTACTCATCCCCAACGAGGGGATTAGCGCTGAAATCGACATTGCCATTTCGAATTAGGGTTAGTGTGGACGCAATTCGAAGCTATTGGCCTCCAGGAGCTATCCCACAGTGCACCATTGTGACCGCTCTGGACAGCACTCTGAACTCGGATGCACTGGCCAAGTGTACAGGAAAAGCCCCGGGAACTTTTGAATCTCATTTCCTGTTTGGCCAGGTGAGCTCATCAGCACAGGTGACCGTGCAGAGTTGTTCAGCACAGGTGACCAAGCAGTCCCAGAATCAAAAAAGAGCTCCAGCATGGACCGAACAGGAGGTACTGGATCTGATCGCTGTATGGGGAGAGGAATCCGGGCTATCAAAACTACGTTCCAAAAGACGAAATGCCAAAACATTTCAAAAAATCTCAGAGGCCATGAGGGACAGAGGCTTCATTAGGGACGCAACACAGTGCCATGTGAAACTTAAGGAGCTCAGACAAGCGTACCAGAAAACCAAAGAATCAAACGGACACTCCAGGACAGAGCCCCAGACATGCCACTTCTATGCTGAGCTGCATGCAATTCTAGGGGGGGTTGCCACCACTACCCCACCCCTGTCTGTGGACTCCGATGATGGGGTACTCTCCGCCATGCCTGAGGATTTTGCAGATGGGGAAGATGAGGAGGAGGAGGAGGAGGAGGACGAGGTTGGGGAGAGCACACAGCACACCATTCTCCCCGACAGCCAGGATCTTTTTATCACCCTGACTGAAATACCCTCCCAACCCAACGAAGCCGGAGAAGGGACCTCTGGTGAGTGTACCTTTTAAAATATAATACATGTTATAAAAGCAAGCGTTTTTAATGATTAAGTAGCCCTGAGGACATGGGATGCATTCGTGGCCAGTACTGCTATTGGAAAAGTCTGTTAACGTGTCTGGGGATGGAGCAGAAATCCTCCAGGGACATCTCCGTGAAGCTCTCCTGGAGGTACTATAAAAGCCTTTGCAGAATGCTTCTGGGGAGAGCAGCCTTATTCCATCCTCCATGGTAGGACACTTTACCACGCCATGCTAGTAGCAAGTAATCTGGTATCATTGCATGACAAAGCCTGGCAGCGTATGGTCCCGGTGTTTGTTGGCATTGAAGAAACATCCGTTATTTATCTTTCTGTGTTATCCTCAGGAGAGTGATATCGTTCATGGTAACCTGGTTGAAATAGGGGAATTTAATTAAGGGGACATTCAGAGGTGCCCGTTCCTACTGGGCTGTTTGACTGTGGCTGAAAAGAAATCCTCCCCGCAGTTAGTCACGTGTGTGTGTGGGGGCGGGGGAGGGCATTGGAGCTGAGCTGTTCGCGTTTGGCTAGCAGGGATCTTCCCTGATACCAGCCAGGCGGTGGGGGGAGGGGAAAAGCGATCATACCAGAGAATTGGATAGGGGGAGGGGGTTAGTTTGGTTTCTGCTGCTGCACGTTAACAGGAAAACTGCAGCACTAAATGGCCAACTCAACGGGCTTTGCTTGGTATGGGAAAGGAGGGGGCTGCTGTTATGAAGGTTGCAGAAGCTGAAAGACTATGGCTTACCATGGCCGCCTGCAAGCCGAATTCTGTTGCCCGGCCCTGCGTGTGTGATCTCTAACACCAAAGCTGCAGGCACTCAGTACAAGATGCAAAATACGACCTTGTACCAAAATCACATATGCTATGTAATGTGAATAGTGTTGTTGTTCACCATGAAAGAGTATAGCCATTGTTCTGTAAAATATATCTTCACTCCCTTTTTTTCCTCCAGCAGCTGCAAATGTTTCAAGCCTCCGTCCCAAAGGCTATCTCAGATAAGGCGGCGAAAAAAATGCACGCGTGATGACATGTTCTCTGAGCTCATGCAGTCGTCTAGCACTGACAGAGCTGCGTAGAGGGACACAACAGCAGCGTAGAGGGACACAACAGCAGCGTACAGGATGGTGGCCGATGAATGTGAGGAGAGGTGGTGGCAGGAAGATCAGAGGAGGTAGGAGACAACGCTGCGGCTACTGCAGGATCAAATGGACATGCTCTGGCATCTGGTGGAGATTCATGAACGGCAGCAGGATCACAGACTGCCGCTGCAGCGCGTGCTTAACCGCCCTCCCTCCTCCCCAAGTTCCATAGCCTCCTCACCCAGACGCCCAAGAACGCAGGGGGGGAGGCTC